GGGCGCGCGCGCCCCCGGTGCCGCTGGTCTCCAAGGTGTGCCCCAGCGACGTCTACCGCGTCTGGAAGCGAGGCGAGAGCCTGCGGGTTGACACCACGCTGCTGGGCTTCGAGCACATGACGTGGCAGCGCGGCCGCCGCAGTTACATCTTCAAGGGGGAAGGTCAGCTCCAGCTCCTGCGGGACCCCCTGGGATCCCAGATCCCCTCAGGGACCCTCCAGTGACCCCAGCGATCCCCCCAGACCCCCTGCGCTATACGTGCTCCCCTATAAGGACCCCAGATCCCCTATAGGGACCCCCTGGGGACCCCAGTTCCCCCTCCAGCAGCGCTGGGGACCTCAGTCCCCTGCAGGGCCCCCCAGTTCCCCACCGGGACCCCCGAGGCCCCCCAAGTACCCCCTGAGATGCGGCGACCCCCAGGCTTGGGGCTGTCGGGGTGCCACGGGGTGCCAGGCGCTGACCCGGCGCTGGGGCACGATGCGGGTGCTGGGGTAGCCGTGGCGGGCGCTGACCCACGTCCCCGTGCGCAGACGAAGGGGCGGTGGTGATGGAGGTGGACCACGACAAGCAGGTGGTCTACACGGAGACGCTGGCCCTGGCCCTGCACGAGCCCGACCTGCTGCTGGCAGCCATGCAACCCTCAGAGGAACACGTAGCCGGGCGGTTGACGTCCCCCATCGTCTCCACGCACCTCGACACCAGGAACATCGCCTTCGAGCGGTGGGCTGCCACCCCCGGGAGGGTGCTGAGGGGTCAAAGGGGGAGGCACATGGCAGACGGCGGCACGGCGAGGAGGGGGAAGCACCTACCGGGAAGGGGCTCGCGCGGGGGAACCGCGCGCCAAGGGGAAGGAAACGCTTGTGCAAGAGGGCGAGCGGCGTGCGAGGAGCTCGCCCCGCGGGGAGCTGACGCCTCCCCCCCCTCCCCAGGAACAAGTCCGGGATCTGGGGCTGGCGCTCGGAGAAGATGGAGGTGGTCAGCGGCTACGAGGCCAAGGTGGGCACGGCACGGGGGCGGGGGGACCCTCGCTCCCGGGGTCCAGTGGGACTGATCCTGTCCCCCGGCAGGTTTACAGTGCCAGCAACGTGGAGCTGGTCACCAAGACGAGGACGGAGCACCTCTCCGACCAGGACAAGTCACGCAGCAAAGGTGACAGCCTCGTCGGCCAATCGGGGAGCCCGCCCACAGTGGGGACACGCCCCCTCCTGGTGCAAGGCCCGCCCCCTAGTGCAAGGTCCACCCCCTTCCTGGGTGGGAGATGTGTCGGGCGTTGGGTGCCGCACTGGGTGCCGGGTGTGAGTGTGTCAGGCGTGGGACGGGGCGTGGGGTGTCACTCGTCAGGCGTGGGTCACCGTGGGTGCCGGGTGTCACCCGTCAGGTGTGGGACACCGTGGGTGCTGTCTGTGACCCGTCAGGCGTGGGTCACCGTGGGTGCTGGGTGCAACCCACGTCATGGGTCCCCATGGCAGGTTGTGACCTGTCAGGTTTGGGACACCGTGGGTGCTGGGTGTCACCTGTCAGGCGTGGGACCCCGTGCGGGGTGTGACCCGTGACAGGGTGGGCAGACGCGGGGGTGCCGTGTCCCCCGCCCGCCCTGCACCCCTGCACCCCCCCTCTCTCCCCGGCCAGGCTCCAAGACCCCCTTCCACTCCTTCCTGGGCATCGCGCAGCAGCACGGCACCCACAACGGGGTGAGTCGCCAGGGTGGGGGGTCCCCCGCGGGTGGGGTGCACCCCCCCGAGTGTCAGGGGACCCCGGCAGCAGGGCTGACGGTGACATTGCCACGCAGGCACCCATCCTGCAGGCTGCCAGCCCCACCAACCCCACCGCCATCACCCCCGAGGAGTATTTTGACCCCCACTTCGACCTGGAGACCCGTAACATCGGGCGCCCCATCGAGATGTCCAGCAAGGTGCAGAGGTGAGGCCACCGCCCCGGGGTGGCAGGGTCCCAGGGAGGTGGCACCGCGGTGGCAGGGAACTGATGCAGGGCGGTGACGTGGCACTGGGGTGGCAGGACTCCTGGGGGTGGTGACATGGTCCCCCGGGACATGGCACTGGGTGTCGGGACCCACGGGGGCGGTGACGGGGTCCCAGGGGACGTGGCACTGGGTGTTGGGACCCACAGAGGTGGTGGCATGGTCCCCCAGGATGTGGCACCGGGTGTCGGGACCCACGGGGGTGGTGATGGGGTCCCAGGGGACGTGGCACTGGGTGTTGGGACCCACAGAGGTGGTGGCATGGTCCCCCAGGATGTGGCACCGGGTGTCGGGACCCACGGGGGTGGTGATGGGGTCCCAGGGGACGTGGCACTGGGTGTTGGGACCCACAGAGGTGGTGGCATGGTCCCCCAGGATGTGGCACCGGGTGTCGGGACCCACGGGGGTGGTGATGGGGTCCCAGGGGACGTGGCACTGGGTGTTGGGACCCACAGAGGTGGTGGCATGGTCCCCCAGGATGTGGCACCGGGTGTCGGGACCCACGGGGGTGGTGATGGGGTCCCAGGGGACGTGGCACTGGGTGTTGGGACCCACAGAGGTGGTGGCATGGTCCCCCAGGATGTGGCACCGGGTGTCGGGACCCACGGGGGTGGTGATGGGGTCCCAGGGGACGTGGCACTGGGTGTTGGGACCCACAGAGGTGGTGGCATGGTCCCCCAGGATGTGGCACCGGGTGTCGGGACCCACGGGGGTGGTGATGGGGTCCCAGGGGACGTGGCACTGGGTGTTGGGACCCACAGAGGTGGTGGCATGGTCCCCCAGGATGTGGCACCGGGTGTCGGGACCCACGGGGGTGGTGATGGGGTCCCAGGGGACGTGGCACTGGGTGTTGGGACCCACAGAGGTGGTGGCATGGTCCCCCAGGATGTGGCACCGGGTGTCGGGACCCACGGGGGTGGTGATGGGGTCCCAGGGGACGTGGCACTGGGTGTTGGGACCCACAGAGGTGGTGGCATGGTCCCCCAGGATGTGGCACCGGGTGTCGGGACCCACGGGGGTGGTGATGGGGTCCCAGGGGACGTGGCACTGGGTGTTGGGACCCACAGAGGTGGTGGCATGGTCCCCCAGGATGTGGCACCGGGTGTCGGGACCCACGGGGGTGGTGATGGGGTCCCAGGGGACGTGGCACTGGGTGTTGGGACCCACAGAGGTGGTGGCATGGTCCCCCAGGATGTGGCACCGGGTGTCGGGACCCACGGGGGTGGTGATGGGGTCCCAGGGGACGTGGCACTGGGTGTTGGGACCCACAGAGGTGGTGGCATGGTCCCCCAGGATGTGGCACCGGGTGTCGGGACCCACGGGGGTGGTGATGGGGTCCCAGGGGACGTGGCACTGGGTGTTGGGACCCACAGAGGTGGTGGCATGGTCCCCCAGGATGTGGCACCGGGTGTCGGGACCCACGGGGGTGGTGATGGGGTCCCAGGGGACGTGGCACTGGGTGTTGGGACCCACAGAGGTGGTGGCATGGTCCCCCAGGATGTGGCACCGGGTGTCGGGACCCACGGGGGTGGTGATGGGGTCCCAGGGGACGTGGCACTGGGTGTTGGGACCCACAGAGGTGGTGGCATGGTCCCCCAGGATGTGGCACCGGGTGTCGGGACCCACGGGGGTGGTGATGGGGTCCCAGGGGACGTGGCACTGGGTGTTGGGACCCACAGAGGTGGTGGCATGGTCCCCCAGGATGTGGCACCGGGTGTCGGGACCCACGGGGGTGGTGATGGGGTCCCAGGGGACGTGGCACTGGGTGTTGGGACCCACAGAGGTGGTGGCATGGTCCCCCAGGATGTGGCACCGGGTGTCGGGACCCACGGGGGTGGTGATGGGGTCCCAGGGGACGTGGCACTGGGTGTTGGGACCCACAGAGGTGGTGGCATGGTCCCCCAGGATGTGGCACCGGGTGTCGGGACCCACGGGGGTGGTGATGGGGTCCCAGGGGACGTGGCACTGGGTGTTGGGACCCACAGAGGTGGTGGCATGGTCCCCCAGGATGTGGCACCGGGTGTCGGGACCCACGGGGGTGGTGATGGGGTCCCAGGGGACGTGGCACTGGGTGTTGGGACCCACAGAGGTGGTGGCATGGTCCCCCAGGATGTGGCACCGGGTGTCGGGACCCACGGGGGTGGTGATGGGGTCCCAGGGGACGTGGCACTGGGTGTTGGGACCCACAGAGGTGGTGGCATGGTCCCCCAGGATGTGGCACCGGGTGTCAGGACCCGTGGGGGTGATGAGGGGCTCCCAGGGGACGTGGCGCCGGGTGTCAGGACCCATGGGGGTGGTGATGGGGTCCCAGGGGACGTGGCACTGGGTGTCAGGACCCATGGGGGCGGTGAGGGGGTCCCAGGGGACGTGGCACTGGTGGGGTGCCCACGCCGACGCCGGTGCCCGGGCAGGTTCAAGGCGACGCTGTGGCTGTGCGAGCAGCACCCGCTGTCGCTGGCGGAGCAGGTGACGCCCATCATCGACCTCATGGCCATCTCCAACGCCCACTTCGCCAAGCTGCGCGACTTCATCACCCTCAAGCTGCCCCCCGGCTGCCGGGTCGCGGGGCTGGGGGTGCTGGGTACCACCAGGCCACCCGTGGGCACGGGGTGGGGGGTGCCAGGGACGGGGGGTGCCAGGGCCCGTGGGCCCTCTGTGGACACAGGGTGGCGTGGCCGTGGGCTGGGGGTGCAGGGTGCTGGGGGGGGCTCGGTGGCACGGGGCACCCGTGGTCACGGAGTGCTGTGGGTGTGGGACACCGTGGGATGCTGCAGGGTGCTGTAGGATACTGCAGGGTGCCATGGGTGCTGTGGGGTTCTGTGGGATACCACGGGACACCACAGGGTGCCGAGGGGTGCTGTGGGGTGCCGTGCGGTGCCAAGCGATGCCATGGGACACCA